AGGGCTCTGGCGCAACCCGAGGTACAGAAGCAAGTTGTCGGTCGCGCCGAAGTAGACAAGTTGGCAAGCCGGGGGTTCGCCCCCCGCAGCCGGTCTGCAGCTCCGACTTCGCCCCGGAGGCCTCCCTTCGAACCGCGGGGCCTCCAACGCGCCGGCCTCCCGGCGACCCCGTCCGTCCTACCTTTCGAGGCCTTTGAAGTTTCGATGGTCTCGCGCCTCAGCTCGGAAGCGCTGGACGTTGTTCTTTCCGCAGAGGAGTCTCCGGGCTCTTCCCTAACTGTCCACGCATGAATGTCGCCTTTCGTGCCGCAGCAAGACTGCGCTTTCTGTAATGTTTGATGAGTTCCTTGTGTACCTTGTCCCTTTATACCAGACCGAACTGGCGCTGACGGGTTGAGAAATCACCGGAGAGGGCATAATAAGTCGTCTTCGGACAGGGCGATCTTTAGAGATGAGGGCCGCAGGCCGGGTGCTGATCGTCTCAGTTGAGCCGGTTTGGCCCGAAGCAAAGAAAGGCACCTGTGACCCAATCTAACCCGATCAAAGGCAGGACCCGAGTCAATTCCCTGCCCTCTTTCATAAGAATCCCGGAGATGTGTGGTGGTAGTTAATTCTTTTTTTTTTCTTCTTTTTCTGTAGTTAATTCTTAATGTCCGTGCTTTTCTTGGCTTTTCTTTCTTGGGTTGTAATAGGTTCCTCTCTTCTGCAGATATGCAGCCAGTGTGCAGGGACTGCGCGGAATTTGTCGCAAGTGGCTCTTTTTTGTATGCAGACACCGAAGCTAAGGTTGCAAGCCCGCTGCTGCCTGAATCAGAAGGGCACCATCTTGGGGTGAGAAAAGAGAAGACATCCCTGGATTCAGAAGGGGGGAAAAAGTGTTTCTCAAACAGGCTGTCATGGAAAATGCTTGATAGACTTTTCGTGTAAATATTGATGCCTATTTGGCACCCTCTAAACCATGATTCATTCTCAGACTTTTAAATCTGTATATCATTTTTGGCCATGGAATAATCCTGAAATTCTTTCTGGTTGAAACTGCATAAAAATCATGATTTTTGCCTTTAAAAACATACTAAGCTCTATTAGGCCTTCCTTTTAAAAATAGGTTTGTTCTTTTGCTTACAATCAAGTCTGTGTTTTTCACTGTGTGTCTCTGTGAAACTCTCCCCATATCCTCCATGAGACGCTTAAGATGATCTTTTTGCTGAGCCCTTCCCGCTTGTCTTTGAGGCATGTTCCTCTCACTGTCCACTGTTTGTCTTAATCCTTCAGATTCATTCCTTGGCCCTCTACTCTTCTCCCTGTACATTCTCTGAGAGTCCACCTGTTTAGCTCCCCAAATGAAATCTTAACATCTTTTGACACCTCTTGAAGCTCCAGGTATATACTCACTTCCAACTTCTATACTTCTTTCGAGTGCTTCATCTTCACTACAGACTTCTCAAAAACCACATTTTTCCTCTTTTTTGGTTGTTTGTTTATCACTCTCTGGCTTTAAAACTACGTGTATTACTATTTTGCTGGTGGGATGAAGTTCACACCATGAATTCAGCATTAGCTGTCTACCACAGACTGGTCCCATATCCACCTTTCCAACACAAGGTCCAGTTACTTGTCGAATGAAGCTCCGTGATCAGGATCTGGCTGCACCTAGTCGCCTCCTCAAAGGCACTGAGTCTTTTGTTGTTTTGGACAGCCTCTCTCTGCCGTACTTGGGATTGCTTTCTCCCACCAATTTAGGACCTAGCCATCCTTGAAGGTCCACATCTTCTGTGAATGTGCCCCACTCCACAATCCCAGGATCATAGTTCCTTGATTCACCACTCACGTTTGATCCTGGTCTGTTGTCTTTTTCATACTGCAACTTGATATATTGTTTTTCTTTTTGGTGATTTCTTTTCTTGTTTCCCTACTAAATTGTCATCTACTTCAAGGCAGACATGATGAGTTACATGTTTTCATATATATATTAACTTGATTTAATGTATATATTAATAAAAGAAATCATGGTGGCATGGCCCTGAATGTCCAGCCCATGGTAGGAATATGCCTGGAGGAAATGTTCCTTTTTGTGACTTGCTTCTCTCCCACAGCATCTCCCAGTTGAAAGGTCTTCATGAATCTGGGAATCATAGTGTTATAATATGTGATCCACTAATCGAGACCAGGACCAAATATCTTGTAGTAAATGGGCAGGTATGAACTAATAGGGCAGAGTACTTGTGAGAGCTCCTTGCTATCAAGTCGATTACGATTCATAGCAACCCTCTGTAGGGTTTTTTGAGGCTCTAAATCTCTATAGGAGCAGACAGCCTCACATTTCTCCTGAGGAGCAGCTGGTGGGTTTGACTCACTGGCCTTGTGGTTTGCAGTCCAACGCTTCCCTAACAGTACTGCCAGGGCTCCTTTATTTAGGAGAACAGTAACATCCAACCAGAACTTTGTGCAAAGATGGCAGTGTTCATACCTGCACCACCCAATGCAGGAGCCGCCAACTACATATTAGTGTGTGTACCTAGCACTTCAAGTGTGGCCAGTGCAAATGAGAGACTGGATTCCTAATTTAATTTTAATTCTAAGACCATGCATGTGTCCCCAGGTTCAGTTCTTTCCCTGCATCTGGTTTTCTAAATGGTGGTGCTAAGTCAAATCTGAATTTCTGTATGAAATGCAGGAAATGGCTGGCACTCCAAGCATCTTCAAATTTAAGATGACTGTCTAGTAAAATAACAACTGCTGATTTGCAGAATTTATGTCTAAAAGGAAATTCCACAATGACCAGTTGTCACTAATTAAATGTAAAATTATTGTTGTATTTCATACAAGTTATAAGACTCAATAAGCAGCTACATGTAGCAAGTGACAGCACTGTTGGACAACGCAGGGTTAAAACAAACCACAGCACTTAGTATGTGATTCTAGCACAGCTGTGGTCAGTGAATCCACAAACCTAGAAGGGACTTGGGCATTGTTCTTTTTCCAATCATTTTATTAGGGTCTCGTACAACTCTTATCACAGTCCATCCATCCATCCATTGCGTGGGACACATTTGTACATTTGTTGCCATCATCATGGGAGTTGGGTATTAAAGACAAACCTTGTCATATATCCAGAAGACACTTCCTTACAGAGGTTACTTGTGTTTCCTCAGGCTGGATCTCCAGAATTGTTCTCTGAAGGACCCTGGTCCAAACTTTCATCAGGCATATACTGCTATCATCATGTAAGTGGTCACAACAAAACAACAAACATACGTTTGTTGTTACAACGACAAGCATACTGCCATAAATTCTGACTCATAGCAGTGTAAGACAGAGTTCCTGTAGGACAGAGTAGAATGGGCCCTGCGGCTTTCCGAGACTGTAATTCTCTGTGGGAGTAGAAAGCTTCATCCTTCTCCCATGGAGCAGTGGGTGGTTTAGAACTGCAGCCCAACTTGTTTCATTCCCCTCAAATGTGAATGTGGCAAAGGGCTGGTGGGGAAATCTTTGGGGATGGACTCCTAAAAAGATAGATGAATAATAATGTCTAAATTTACTCTGGGTGGGAGCTGTATTACCAGACTAGGAGGATGACTGCATGGATCTAGGGCGAGGAGAATACTGACCCTGTGCTTTACAGAGACCTGCAAGCAAACCCCCTCAAGAAGGACTTGGCTAATGCCTTCCGTGGTTTCACTCAGCTCCAGACTCTGTAAGTAAAGAGTGTGGGGTTAGGGAATAAACTACGAGAGGGGTACTGCTGGGAGCTCAACAACTTTACGTTGAGTATATTACAACTTGCACTGCCTTCAGGTTACTGCCGAAAGATGTCAACTGCCCTGGAGATATTGGTGCCTGGAGTACAATCACCACTTACGTAGACAAGCAAACCTGCCAAGGACAAAGGAACCTTTGCAATAGCACTGGTGACCCAGGTATGTCTTCTCCTCTTTACCTTTCTGGGAACTGCCTTTCCTCCCCTATATGCTCCATGTGAAATCAGAAAAAAACAGTAAAGGTGCTGAGAGTTCTGAGCTCCTTTCTTGGGAGTGGGGGGGGGATGATTGTTGTGTTCTGACTATCTGACCTACAAAGGATGGGGGAACTTAAATTGAAGCAGCTGTTTAAGAAATCTATCTGATGAGACTCACTGATCCTCTCTGTTTCTCGCTGGCTCCCAGAAATGTGTCCTGAGAATGGACTGTGTACATCGGATGGGCCTGGGCTCTGGAAGTGCCTTTGTGCTGATGGCTTCCACGGCTACAGGTGCATGCGCCAGGTGAGGAATCAGGCCTCAGCTATGAGAGGAATGCATAGAGCTGGAACCTCAGTGGGGGCTATTGTAAATAGCTTTACAGAGGATCAAAGCTGTAGGAGATTTGCTCCAAATAAGGTGAATTGGGGAAGAACTAGACGATAAAGGGTCATGCTCAATGAGATGGTTAATTCGCAGGGCTCCTTCTCACTAATTGTGTTCTTCGGGATTCTGGGATCCACCACGCTATCCATCTCTATTCTGCTGTGGGCCACCCAGCGCCGAAAAGCCAAGGCTTCATGAACCCCTGGGTCTCCTAAAGAACATGGATCTATCTGAGCCCTGCCTGGGTGTTGTGCTTCCTAGACTGGCATCACCAAGCCCAGGCCGCCTTCGGAAGGAAGATGGAAAACTGCCCCATCCCCCTGCGCTGGGGACGCATCTCCATTTGCTGTTGACGATAATAAACAACTCGTCTTGTTTGTCTTTTTAGGGGATTGGCCCTGCCTCGGCGTCTTTCTTGGTTGGGGTGGGAGGGGTGGCTCAGGGAATCGGTGCTTTCTGGTTTGCGCAGACTGCTCGGGAGGAAGAGGATTCCGCGATGCAGCTGCGCCGCCGCCTTGGCCCCGCCCCGTGCGTGCCCGGCCCCGCCCCTCACGCCGCCAGCTTCCCGCGCCGCCGCAGACTCCGCGGCCAGTGCGTCGGGCTCCTGCGCGGTGCACGGCAGCATCTGCTCAGCCACCGGCGCCCTGAGCCACGTGGACCGGCTGCGGGCGCGTAGTCCTCACGTGGCTGCCGCGCCGGCGGGGGCTTGCCTCGCTCCGCCGCTCACTCGTGCTCGGCCCTGCCTGCGTTCCGTCCTCATGGCGGCCCTGGTGTTGGAGGACGGGTCGGTCCTGCGGGGCCAGCCCTTTGGGGCCGCGGTTTCGACTGCCGGGGAAGTGGGTAAGCTAAGCAAGCCCGGGCAGGCAGCCGGATCTCATCCCACTCTGGTGCCCCTCGCCCCCCACTCTGCCCTGCTCCGACCCCGCCATTTTCCCGCCTGACACCCTTCGCGCTTCCACTCCTCACGCCCCAGGCAGCCCCCCGGGACTGGGGCATTCCCATCTCTGGGCGGTGCGCTGAAGGGTGCCCTGCCCGAGCCTCGCCCTACCTCTTTCCTGCAGTGTTTCAAACCGGCATGGTGGGCTACCCGGAGGCCCTCACTGACCCATCCTACAAAGCTCAGATCCTAGTCCTGACTTACCCTCTGATCGGCAACTACGGCATCCCCTTAGATGAAGCGGATGAGTTCGGCCTCAGCAAGGTAGCGCCTCCCAACTTCTTGCTTTCTTACTCAGATCAGTAGTAGTTCGAACAATGAGTATGGTATGTAAGCCCTTCAGGGGAAGCGGCTACACAAGCAATGAGATGGCTGTACTTAAATTTAAAGTGGATAAATGCTTTAAGAAGGCGGCCTGCTGGGGTCCTGAGAGAGGGTGCTATTCAGGGGCCCGTGGCCCAGTGGAGACTATCCTGCCCCATTGTAGTGAAGGTAGGAATCATCAAGTGGCAAGAGGTATTTGCAGTAGTTGTCCCAGGAGCCTTTTCCATACTGTTAGGTTTGAAGCCAATCTAATCCGAATTTGGTAAGGATCCTTTGGAGTTGAGCACTGCTTGGGTGGGATAGAGGTCCCACTCTTGCCATCATTGTGGGTCCCAGTTGACCTGCAGACCCAGTAAGAGTTGGTATGGGCTTCTCCCTCCTTTTGTAGTGTTCTTACCATCTGGGTGAGAAAATTCTGTTTTTCTCCTGAAACTCAGTGTAGTTGCTACTCTTCCTCTGGCATTTGGAAATCAAAATACCCTCCGAGTTGAAGTTTAATTCGTTTCTTTTTGGTGGTTTTTTTTTAAGCAACTTGGATAATAGTTGCTTTAAAAAACCGGTATATCCCAGATACAGTGTTCATAGCGTCGTGTTACTGTGATTCCAGGCTTACTAAGCAAGCAGCTATTCTTGCAAACAAACTCACTGCCATTGGGTTAGATTCCAACTCATAGCCGCCCTATAGGACAGGGTTCGGAGACTCAATCTTTATGGGAGCGGAAAGCCTCACCCCTCAGCAGAGCATCTGGTGATTTCAGACAGGTGACCTTGCAGTTAGCAGCCTATGCTGTAACCCACTACGCCACCATGTTCCTCCGGCAACCATGAGATTCTAAATTTGCCATCCAGATAACCTTGGTACTGGGAAGACTCGGGATAATAAATGCATTTACTGTTAAACCTGGAAAAGACCGTTTGTCATCATAAGCCTGTAAACACATTCTAATTTTACGCCGGTAATTTATGAATTGGGTTAACATAGGCCAGTCTTTAGCTCCACCAGCTCTAGGCCCACTGACAGAATGGAGTTGACAAACCTGTAAAATCGAGGCCCTGGCCGGCCAGTGAGTGCACCCACCTGCACCTTGAGAGGACTCCACCTGCCCGGGAGGGCTCTTGTTACCTTCTCAACCACCAGCTCCCTCCCTTTCATTGGAATGCAGTGTAAATAGGCCACTCCCTCCCAAGTAAACTCCGCTTTCTCCATTTACTTGCTACATGATTGTCTGTGATTGACAGCTGTTTTTTTTTTTTAGCTGGCCCCTTTGAGGGTATGATCTCGTCTCCTAAATAAATGTCCGTTGTCGATGCCATGTGTCGGGTATATTGCTCCCGAGTTCCTTTTCCTGTGGCCAGGACATGCCCGTGTGTTGTGTGTTACTGTTTAGTGTTGGGGGGCAGCCTGGTTGGTGAACGGAGTGATGGAGGTGGTGGTGCAGGTCATTCAGTGTAACTGCCATAGATGGCCCATGGCCATATGGGGCGGGGCGGAGGGGCGGGGGGAGGACCTGGGGAGTTACTTGGCCCAGAGCTTCCTCTCATGATTTTTTTCCCCATCGACAGTGGTTTGAATCCTCGGGGATCCATGTGGCAGGACTGGTGGTGGGAGAGTGCTGCCCCACGCCCAGCCACTGGAGTGCCACCCGCACCCTGCATGAGTGGCTGCAGGAGCATGGCATACCCGGCCTGCAAGGTATGCTGGTTGAGCACAGCTGTGTCCAGGTAGAAAGGATTACCAGAAGGGCTCTCTGTAGGACTTGCTTCCAATATGCTCCAGAGGGAAGGTTTGGATTGGGATCTGGGACTGTAGGAGCCAGATGACATCACTCAGATGGGAGATTCCTCCAGTTTATGGATAATCGTATTTTATCACCACCAGGTGCTTTCTAAGCAGCTCTCATACGTCATACCATTTCATCCACAAGCAGCTCAACATCTTAGTTCTGCAACTTGCAGTCTTTTTTTTTTTTTTTAAAGCACGGCCCGCAATAAAATTGTCATACGTTAAATAATTCCCTAATATCATAAAAAACACTCAGGCAATATTCAAAATGTATCCAAGTCACCTTTTTTAAAAAAATAACTGTTAGCTTGAAGCTGTATCTAACTAAACAAGGCTTATAGTTTGTATGTGGTTGATCATTCTCTTTAGTCTAAGGATCCTGAGTCTAAATATTGAAGGAAAGTGGGTCATTGATTCCATTAGAGGCTCCCTCAGCCATTCTACTTCTGTGGTGTTATTTAGCATCTTCTGTTGTGCTTTGGTATTCTTTCCCATAAACCAACAGGCCTAACACTGATTCAGTGAAGACACATTCCAGTCAAGAACCCTTCATGGCTGCACACTTCACAGCGCAGGCCTGTAGACTAGCTGTGGGTGGTTCCTGTGCTCACATGAAAGTATTTGTAGAAGTTGATCCTCGTGTAGATTTGAGTGAGATCTTGGAGGGCGTGCTAATTTTGACAGGCGTGGACACGCGGGAGCTGACCAAGAAATTACGGGAGCAAGGGTCGCTGCTGGGGAAGCTGGTCCAGAATGGGACAGAGCCTTCAACCTTGCCATTCGTGGACCCCAATTCCCGTCCCCTGGTGCCAGAAGTCTCCATTAAGGTAAGGCAGGCAGCAGATTGGGAGCGTGCTCTAAGCTGCGTGAGCCACAGGGGTTACACTTTGCTCCTAGCTGGTGTGAACACTAGGGGCAGTGAGAAGAGGGATGGGGGTCAGGGTAGGGGTGGGGCTGAATACCTTCCACTGATGGCTGACTTGTTGCTCTTTCCACTTCTATTCCTCAGGCTCCACGAGTATTCAATGCAGGGGGTACCCCTCGGATTCTGGCTTTGGACTGTGGCCTCAAGTACAATCAGATCCGGTGCCTCTGCCAGCGTGGGGCAGAGGTCACTGTGGTGCCCTGGGACCACATGCTGGACAGCCAGAGTGAGTAGCTCGGGTGCACACAGGGTCTTCCACTAGGATGAAAAGGTGGTCTCTTGGTCCCCTTGCCAAAAGCCAACATGAATTGCAGCAAAGATGAAGATAAGACTTTCTGCTCTGATGGTAAGAGCTGCAGGTGTATGTCTTGCAGTTAAAATACTGGTTTTGATCTCATGTCTTCTGCTCACTCCAGAGTATGAGGGTCTCTTCCTAAGTAATGGCCCTGGTGACCCCGCCTCCTGTCCCAATGTGGTATCCACACTGAGCCGTGTCTTAGCTGAGCCTAATCCCCGACCTGTCTTCGGGATCTGCCTGGGACACCAGCTGTTGGCCTTAGCCATTGGGGCCAAGACTTACAAGATGAGGTGGGACTCGGGAGAGGAAGGCACCTGCCCCTTTGAGATGAGGGTTGGGGAATCTTGGGAATGGGAATCGAGTTGGTGTTTATTGGTGTTGAAACAGGAGGGGGTGGCTAGTGAGAACAGTGAGAGCAACAAGAAGCTCGCTTTGGTTTGCGGTAGTGAAGGGAGGTTGGAAGCAGCCTGTGACTTAGCTTGTCTCCTTCGCCAGATACGGGAACCGAGGCCATAACCAGCCATGCCTGCTGGTGGGCTCTGGGCGCTGCTTTCTGACATCCCAGAACCATGGGTTTGCCGTGGAAGCAGACTCGCTGCCAGCAGGCTGGTCTCCTCTCTTCACCAACGCCAACGACCAATCTAATGAAGGCATTGTGCATGACAGCCTGCCCTTCTTCAGGTGAGCCGGGGCGGGGGCGGCCTGGCAGGGTTACTGGGAACCTCCACAGCTTGGAAGCCCTATGGCCCTTAAGGTTGTGAAGGAGAAGTCCAGCAGCAGACAGGAGTTCTCCGCCCACTACCATCGGCGAGGGTGTCGGCGCCCGTCCCTGTGACGAGGACAGGCTTCGTAACCCATCTCTCCCATAGTGTGCAGTTTCACCCAGAACACCGGGCCGGCCCTTCGGATATGGAGCTGCTTTTTGACGTCTTCCTGGAAACTGTGAAGCAGGCTGCAGCTGGGAAGCCAGGGGGCCAAACAGGTGAGCCCCGGAGGAGGAGGAGGAGCGAGCTGGGGACCTGAGGACCTCAGCCCAGGCTGGGCTGAGCAGTGACAGGAGTTGCCTCCAGGACAGGCACACGATGGCCGTGCCCCAAGAAACTGATTAGTGTGGTTTCAAGGTTGGGGGTGTGTGGGGGGAAGGCAAACAGAGAGAGTTGATTCCTGCTGCTTCTCCTGGAAGTTCCCTGTGGGGTCCTCAGTCCTGCCTTCTGGGCCGCCTCCTGCCGTTCATTGAATGCATGGCACATTCAGGACTCTTCTGTAACGTCAAAGGGGTGGACCCTATAATGCTCGCTCAGAACCTGTTCAAGGTCAACGCTGTGGTTCCCTCTGTCTCCACAGTCCGAGAGCGGCTGACCGAGTGCCTCTGTTCCCCTGGGCTTCCCACCACCGGCCCTGGGCTTCCGCCGCTCAGAAAGGTGCTCATCCTTGGCTCAGGGGGTCTCTCCATTGGCCAAGCTGGAGAGTTTGACTATTCGGGCTCTCAGGTAAGACATGGCCACGCCCGCTCCCTTGGGTGTGGGGACCCTCAGGCATGTCTGAGGCCTCTACCTCTGTTGTCGGGAGACACTGACTCAGGAGAGGTGAGGTAGAGAAAGAGGAGGTGATGGGGATTAGGAGTTAGTTCTTAGGCACTTGGGGTACACAGGGAGGGAAAGAGGAGGAAGGACCGTCATAGACGATCCTCAGTGTCGGTCGCTGTCCCAGCGAAGAGGCTGATGTGCCCTGCTTAACCTCTTAGGCGATCAAAGCCCTGAAGGAGGAGAACATCCAGACCCTGCTGATCAACCCCAACATCGCCACTGTGCAGACCTCTCAGGGGCTGGCTGACAAGGTCTACTTCCTTCCCATCACACCTCACTACGTAACCCAGGTATGACGTGAGCAGGGCGTTCCGTGGTCATTCTGTTGCCTGTTTCTAAAGGCCTTCAGCCCACTCCCTTCCCTACAAAGCCACATGCGCGCTCATTCTCCCTCCTACCTCAGGTGATCCGTAACGAACGCCCAGATGGCGTGCTACTGACGTTCGGGGGCCAGACAGCGCTGAACTGCGGCGTGGAGCTGACCAAGGGCAAGGACAACGTGCTCGCTCGCTACGGAGTCCGCGTGCTGGGCACGCCCGTGGAGACGATTGAGCTAACTGAGGACCGGCGTGCCTTCGCCGCCAGGATGGCAGAGATCGGGGAACACGTGGCCCCCAGCGAAGCTGCAGATTCTCTGGAACAGGTTTGGGGAGGGGGTGGGTTGAAAGCGGAGTGGGGTCACTTCCTTCATGCTTTGGTTATTCTGCCTCTAGGCGCCCTCTGAGCCACAAGAGGTCAAGACCTTGACCTGTCTGTCCGTGTCCTGCAGGCCCAGGCCGCGGCCGAGCGACTAGGATACCCTGTGCTGGTGCGTGCAGCCTTTGCCCTCGGGGGCCTGGGCTCCGGCTTTGCCTCCAACAAGGAGGAGCTCTCTGCTCTCGTGGCCCCAGCCTTCGCTCACACCAGCCAGGTGCTGGTGGACAAGTCCTTGAAGGGATGGAAAGAGATTGAGTACGAGGTGGTGAGGGACGCCTACGGCAACTGTGTCACGGTGCGTGGTGGGGAAAGGCTGGGAGTCGGGGCCCTTGGAGGAAGAGGGTTTGGTGTCCTGGTGGGGTCCAGCCATAGAGGCAGTAGGGCTGGGGGCATTGCTGCCCACCCATCCTGACAGCTTTTAGCAATGACTCCCGGTGGACCCTCCCTTCACAGGTGTGTAACATGGAGAACCTGGACCCACTCGGCATACACACGGGGGAGTCCATCGTGGTGGCTCCGAGCCAGACGCTGAACGACCGGGAGTACCAGCTCCTGCGGCAGACGGCCATCAAGGTGACCCAGCACCTGGGAATCATTGGCGAGTGCAACGTGCAATATGCCCTGAACCCTGAGTCTGAACAGGTGAGACATAGGCCCTACAGCACATGTTCTAACTGTTGCCTCCTCCCCGTCCCTGTAGTGGTCAGCCTTTAAGGCCAACCAGCCCTGTCCTGCAGACACTAGAATTCAAGCCAGGACCATCTTTGCTGTGGTTGGGCCTTGGGGCGGGCCCTGTGCTACCTACCCATCCCTATAAGGGCCCATTGCCGTCAAGTTGATGCCAGCTCATGTTGATGCTGTAAGAAGAGTAGAGCGGATTGCCCCCAGCTGGTGGGTTCAAACCCCTGGCCTTTCTGTTGGCAGCCAAGCACTTTAACCATTACACCACCAGGGCTCCTCCTCCATTCCTTTGCAGAGCCTTGTTTCCTTAGCCGTTTACTGCTCACTGCCTCCCCGCTCTCCCTCTGCAGTATTACATCATCGAAGTGAATGCTCGGCTCTCCCGCAGTTCCGCCCTGGCCAGCAAAGCTACTGGCTATCCTCTCGCTTACGTGGCGGCCAAGCTGGCTTTGGGCATCCCTCTGCCCGAACTCAGGTACGAGGCGAGAGGGGGAAACGGGCTGTAAGGAGTGGGGCCTGGAAAGGACATTCAGGGGAGAGGGATGCTAAACGCCGTAGGTGGCCTGAGTTTATGGTCTGTGGAGAGACCTTATCTGGAAGCTCAGGCTATACATCTCCTGCTCTGTTCACCGGCTCCCAGGAACTCCGTGACCGGAGGGACGGCAGCCTTTGAGCCAAGCCTGGATTACTGTGTGGTGAAGATCCCCCGCTGGGACCTCAGCAAGTTCCTGCGGGTCAGCACCAAGATCGGGAGCTGCATGAAGAGTGTGGGTGAGAAAGGCTTGCCCCACACAGCCCTTCCTCAGACCTGGCACCGCCTCGGGCCCCCTCGTACCAGGAACCCTCAAAGGGCCCTAGCGTGCCTTTCGAACTTCTGTACTGGCAGCTTCTGGGAAACGCGTGTCCTCAGAGGTAACGGGGACATTGCCAAGTAGGACAGTAGCGCTCCGCAGGAGTGGGACTCAGAGTCATCCGGGACTCTGTCAGGCACACGTGCCGTCCCCACGCCCCAGATGGTACGCCAGAATCCCTGGAGAGTCTGCTGGGCCCCAGACTCTCAGCTCTGTTCGTTCGTTTTATACATGAGTAACCTGCGGTGCCCACAAAAGGAACTTGGCAGAGCCAAGAACTGGGAGGCTCACCGGACTCCTGGCCCCATGTTTTCCTGTTGCCGACCTTGGCCTTCGTCTGCAAGGCCAGTTCTCTGAAGCTGCACCCACGGCATTTCAGCTTCGTGGCATTTTGCCCTGGGCTTCGTCTCTCGGCTGGCGAGCCGGCTGGGCATTTTGTTCACTGTGTGAGTTTAAGTAGGAGACTTGAGGGATATAGTGACTGCTCTCGGATGAACCCCTTCTCCATCCCGGGAGCACAGGGGCAGCCATGCATAGCCTACCTCCTCTTCCTCTGAACCCGTTCTGCCGTGGTCACTAAATGAAATATTGTTGGACCGTTTAAGACCGGGTGTTTCAAGTTCAGAGCAAGCCACCAACTCTTTCTTTTTTCTTTTATATGAACAGGAGTTGTCTTTGTGAACAGTGGATAGTGGGAACAATCACCTCAGCGGTGGTGGGTGGGAGTGTGCTTCCTCTTGGTGCCCCTGTAGTTACTGCAGACCATTCCGTCCCACGTTTCATCCCAAACAAGCACCTGCGTGCCTGCACTAGCCAGCGTGGCCCCAGATCTCACGAGCAGCAGTGGCCTTTAAACAAGTCTGAGCTCGGATGGCATTTCAGGATATTTAGAAACCGGACAAGACTGCCAAGTCATTCCTTCTGGAGATAAATTCCTGTTCATTTGAAAAGTTAACAAACATTGGAGTGAAGCCATAATTAAATTGTGGAGCAAAGATGTAGGTTGAAAACAGAACAGTCAAAGGTCGAGCCCTCGGTGAAACATTTAAATGTTTCCCATCCACTCTAGTCTTTTTAACATGGGATCTCTGGCTACTTTGTAACTTTTAAGTAGGGTACAGGAGTCATTGGCAAATGAGAACATGTGTTTTGGTCAAGCAAAAGTAATTACCTGTAAGCTTATCACACACACACGGTGAACTTGGATGGGTGTGGGGGATGTGCGTTTCCAGATGTGCACCCACCCAGCAGTTTCCAGGCAGACATGCACAAGTGTGCTGGGGTTCTGTTTTTTCATGGCAAACCCTGGAATAGCATAAAGCTATTTGTCAAGTATTGTATTGCTCTATAATACAATTTTTCTATTTGTAGAAAAATTCTATTGAACATTTTGAAGCCCCCTTGTACAATCACATGACCAAAAATCTAAACACAATCTACTCCCTTAACACAGTAACCTCGTTGTGGTGGTTTTTAAAAAGTTTAGGAGAAACCTGTCAGGGTTTTAAATAGGGGGAGGGGGAAACACTTAAGACAGCAGGTGCCTAAAAGGGGAAGAAACTAAGCAAGCCTGGGAGGAAGAGCTCCTCTCCTTCCTACAGTAGAAATCTAGCTAGCGGGGTGTTGTCTTTGCTTGCCCGATGCCATTGGGTAGATTTTGACTTGGTGACCTGGTGATGGAGTAGAACCGCCCCGTAGAGTTAAAAAAAAAAGCTTTAAATAAAAATGCTCGGTTGTGTTGTAAAGTCTGGTTCAGGATAGCTAGCCTATGATCCAAAGCGCGGGAGACATCCTGCCTCACTTGGGATGATGAGGACCTAGACGTGCCCCAAGCTGGCAGCAGTTGGTGCAGTTGCATTATGGTAAATGTAAGAAACCACTGGCTGTAAGGTGTTCTGACAATTTGCACACACTATGGGGAGGCAAACAAGATGGAAAACAGTATGTATTCTCTGATCATAGAGGAAACCATAGAGAAAAATATGTTGGGGGGAAATCCTGTAAAATGTCTGCTGAATTGTGCTTGGCTTCACTTGGGCTGGGAGTGGTGGATCATCAAAACATTGTAAAGCTCTCAAGGATGGGCTGATGCCAGATGGTATCACAACATGAGTAAAGTGCATCCAATAACTGGAGAACCAGCAGGGGCTTGGGCCGCTGTGATAAGCTGTCATGTGGTCCAGCATCCACCTGCCTCTATGGAGCCTTTTAATTCCCATGTGCCTGAGCAAGGAAAACGTGAAGTCCTGGACATTTGCAGGCAAAAAAGCTGCAAGTGTAGGATTTCTCGCTGAGACCTCTTATCAGGGAGAGACTCTACCTGGGGACTTGACTGGGGCACCTCCGTGGGTGTCCTGAGCAGCAGCCTGCCCCGGGGCCTCAATCCTCGTGTTTTGTCCTCCAGGTGAAGTCATGGGCATTGGGCGATCGTTTGAGGAAGCCTTCCAGAAGGCCCTGCGCATGGTGGATGAGAACTGTGTGGGCTTTGATCACACGGTAAAGCCTGTCAGCGACATGGTAAGAACCCACCCCTCTTGGTAACACCCTTAAGGTGGGGCGCCCTTCTCCCCACCCCGGCCCATGAGCTTACAACTGCTGTGAGTGCTGAGCGAGGCCGTTGCTCATGTAGCAGCAGCTCAACCTGTTTTTACAGACGGATGGCCTGGATGAGAGAGGTTGTTCAAGTTGCTCAAAGCCACACCATCAGGAGGGCAGAGCCAGTATCTGTCCCTGGGGTGTTCATGGCAACGGAGCCTGTTTTCTGGGGAACAGCTTCCGTTCTGTCTCTCAACACTTCCTACTTCTCCAGCCGCTGAGTTGATAATGCTTTGCACTGGGCACACAGGACCCGGGCAGTGTCCATGACTATAGGGCTCACGAAGGAAGGTAACAGGCTGCAGTCAGGTGAGAGATGGGCAGAGCACAGCTTGAGTCAGGACATGGGACACCATTCTTTGGCGGCTGCTCAGAAAGGGCATGCCACTCTGCTGTAAGCCTCAACCTGACAGCATTGTCATTGAGCTCCGTGTGGGTCAACAGACCCAGTTCCCAGAATTGAGTGCCCAGAGGCACCCCACACCCATGAACCTCAGCCCAAAGGCACCGCAGTGCACAGGCTAGCCTTTTGCCCCGAAGCACTCCGTTTTACTTACTCTGTGGGCTGGGAAGTCTAGCCTGTCCTCATTGCTCTGAGTCCTGGCTTTGCTGCTGCTGCTGCTGCTGCTGCTCTTGCTCTGGTGTCACACCAACAGCTGCGTCAAGGAGCATTGCTGCACAGGGATCTCGGGGTCCAAAGAACACATTCTGTTCCTGCCCCTACCCCCTTCTCAGAGGCCTCGTTTTATGCCCAGCAGGATTGGTGAACCCCGTTAGCAATTACTCACTGGTGAATCCTATTAGTGCCTTCCTCTAATCAGACCTATGCAGCGGGCAAAGGCAATGGTTTGGTGGGAGTTAGGGAGGCTTGGGCCGGAAGAAGTGCATTCAGTAATTCACTGCCCCTGCAGCTCCCATGCCTAACACAGCTGCAGCCATGCCTGCTGTGAGTGGTGCGGGCAGAAGATTGGGAATTTCTCGACTTGGCATCCTGACCTCTCCTACCCCTGTACAGTCCTGCATCGACTGCCCGGTTCCTCTCTCTGTTAGGAATTGGAGACCCCGACCGATAAGCGCATCTTTGTGGTGGCGGCTGCTCTGTGGGCTGGCTACTCGGTGGAGCGCCTGTATGAGCTCACGCGCATCGACCGCTGGTTCTTGCACCGGATGAAGCACATCATAGCCCACACGCAGCTGCTGGAGCAGCACCGTGGGCAGCCTTTGCCCCCAGACCTGCTGCAGCAGGCCAAGCGCCTTGGCTTCTCAGACAAGCAGATTGCCCTCGCAGTTCTGAGGTCAGAGACAGCGTGAGGGCCCCGGGCTGGGGAAGGCGGGGGTGCACCTTTGTGTCCCTGGGAGATGGGCGGTGGGTGGGTCTAGCTTCCTCTGAGTTTTGTCCTGGACTCTCTCTACCCCTTTGCCGCGGCCTGCGTGTCTCTTAGCCTTTGTCTCCTTTAGCACAGAGCTGGCTGTCCGCAAGCTCCGGCAGGAGCTGGGCATCTGCCCAGCGGTGAAGCAGATTGACACGGTGGCGGCCGAGTGGCCAGCCCAGACCAATTACCTGTACCTGACCTACTGGGGCACCGCCCACGATCTCACCTTTCGCACACCTCATGTCCTGGTCCTCGGCTCTGGGGTCTACCGCATCGGCTCCAGCGTGGAGTTTGACTGGTGTGCCGTGGGCTCCATCCAGCAGCTCCGGAAGGTTCGAGAGCTCACCTTTCACACCAGTGTCTGCCTGCCTGCTCACAATGCAGTCCCGGCCCCTCTGTTTCTTGCTTGGCTTCACGACCAACCTCCACCCCACCCCCCAGGGGCTTTGGGGGGGTTCCTGTCCAGGGGAAGCTGGGGTAGCAGCCTCTGCAGCAGTGGCTTGGATGTTGTTTGGGTTGTCCGTGCCGCGGAATTGGGGACGCTCACCCCCACCTCCCTGTCACAGATGGGGTACAAGACCATCATGATGAATTACAACCCAGAGACGGTCAGCACTGACTATGACATGTGTGACCGGCTCTACTTCGATGAGATCTCCTTCGAGGTAAGGGGAGTGAGGCCAACCGGAGGGGGAGGAGGGGGCAGTGAGCAGGAAGGCTCTGCCCGCCCCCCAGCCCTTTGGAGACTCCAGCCGGCCCACCTGCCCGCCCGCTGTAGGTGGTGATGGACGTGTACGAGCTGGAGAACCCCGAGGGCGTGATCCTCTCCATGGGAGGGCAGCTGCCCAACAACATGGCCATGGCGCTGCACCGGCAGCAGTGCCGTGTTCTGGGCACCTCCCCCGAGGCCATCGACTCAGCCGAGAACCGGTTCAAGTTCTCCCGGCTCCTCGACACCATCGGCATCAGCCAGCCGCAGTGGAGGGAGCTCAGTGACCTGGAGGTACTGGGTGGGGGGTGCTGGAGGTGGATGGGACAGCGCTCATGAGTGTGTGTGGCCAGCCCATCTGAGCCCCCTGCCGCCCCCAGTCTGCTCGCCAGTTCTGCCAGACTGTGGGGTACCCTTGTGTGGTGCGCCCCTCCTACGTACTGAGTGGGGCGGCCATGAACGTGGCCTACACGGACGGCGACCTCGAGCGTTTCCTGAGCAGTGCGGCCGCCGTCTCCAAGGAGCACCCCGTGGTCATCTCCAAGTTCATCCAGGAAGCCAAGGTGCGCCACTGCGGCCAAGGCCGGCTCGGAGGGAAAGCCCCGGCTGGGAACTTGCAGGCACATCCTGGAACCAGGGAGAGAAGGGAGCCGCCTCCTGCCTGAGCTCACCCTGCCTCCTACCCACCCCTCACCCCCAGGAGATCGACGTGGATGCTGTGGCCTGTGACGGTGTTGTGGTGGCCATCGCCATCTCGGAGCACGTGGAAAACGCAGGCGTGCACTCAGGCGATGCCACACTGGTGACCCCCCCACAGGACATCACTGCCAAAACCCTGGAGCGGATCAAGGCCATTGTGCATGCCGTGGGGCAGGAGCTGCAGGTCACTGGCCCCTTCAACCTGCAGCTCATCGCCAAGGTGAGGAGACGGCAGCGAGGCACCACGGCCCCTGCGGGGTCTGCGCTGGCAGGAAGCCCCGCACATTCGCCCTGGTAGGGGTGGTGACAGTCCGCTGCCCTGGTGGCTCTCGGGGCGTCGTGGTTACTCATGAGTTGAGATCCGCAAGGTGGACAGTTCGAAAGCACCAGCCATTCTGAGGGAGACAGCCTGGGCTTTCTCGTCCCATGAAGAGCTGCACTCTCAGGACTCACGGGCAGTCCTGCCCTGTCCCACAGGGTGGCTGTGAGTCAGCACGGACTCGGTGGCAGGGAGTTTGCATGGCCCTGAGGGGGTGGTGCAGGAGGCAAGGTCAACCTCTGAAGGGCCCAACTGGTCTCCGTCTGCCCCTCTGCCTCAGGATGACCAGCTGAAAGTTATCGAATGCAACGTGCGTGTCTCCCGCTCCTTCCCCTTCGTCTCCAAGACCCTGGGTGTGGACCTGGTAGCCTTGGCCACACAGCTCATCATGGGGGAAGAGGTGGAGCCCGTGGGGCTCATGACTGGCACTGGCGTCGTGGGAGTCAAGGTAAGCAGGATTCCGGCCTGGGGGACAGCACAGATGAGAGTCGGTCAACGAACGTAGAGACCACGCACCGACTGTGCCCAGCAGGACCACGATGGGAGTGAGGTGCTTTTGTTCCTGGGGGACTTACACTCTAGTAATAGGCGGTGAGAGAAGCTGGGTCTAAGGTGCGCTTCCCTGTATTAGAGGAGAGATAGCTAAAACGCTGCGCGGGAGTGGGGAGACAAGATGAGTTAGAAACGGGCATAGGAGAGAGGGTCTTCAAATGAGGAGTTGGCTCACGGAGGAAGGACACTGAGGGCGGGGCCCTGGGCAGGAGGAGAGGGGAGGAGAGCCGGTGGTCTCCGGTGGGGTAGCATTAGGGGGGTTAGCACACTTGGGGTGCAGGACCAGTGTGCCCCTGCCCCTCATGGTGAGAGGAACGAGGGGGGTGTCCCTTCTTACATACTGCTCCCATAGGTGCCCCAGTTCTCGTTCTCCCGCTTGGCGGGCGCTGATGTGGTGTTAGGCGTGGAAATGACCAGCACCGGGGAGGTGGCCTGCTTTGGGGAGAGCCGCTGTGAGGCCTACCTCAAGGCCATGCTGAGCACCGGCTTTAAGATCCCCAAGAAGAACATCCTCCTGACCATTGGCAGCTATAAGGTACTAGCCGGAGGGGCGGCCGTGAGCCGGCATTGGCTCTCTGGGCCAGGTTGACCCTGTCATGGAAAATGGGACACACAGCCTCATCCTTCTGCTTTGTTCCAGAACAAAAGCGAGCTGCTCCCCACGGTGCGGCTGCTGGAGAGCCTGGGATACAGCCTCTACGCCAGTCTGGGCACCGCTGACTTCTACACGGAGCACGGCGTCAAGGTGCGTGCTCGAGGCCCGCCTGCCCCTCGGGCTGAAGGCGAGAGCTCCTGAGAACCCCTGCACTGCACCGCCGCTATTCGTACCATTAACGTCAGGAGCCCTGGTGGTGTGCTGGTTAAGTAAGCCCTGGGCTGGAGGCTAAAGCCCGCCCACGGGCGCCGCGCGGAGTTTAGCCTGGGACACCCTTGAGGACATTTCTGTTGTCACAAGCTGTAGCTGAGTCAGCACCCACGTCATCCCACCCAGCACTCAAACCAGGCCCACTGCCGGCCGCGCGGTACTGACTCACAGCAACCCCGGAGGACGGTGAAACGCCGTGTGGAGGGTTCCGAGATTGTGACCCTTACGGAGTAGAAAGCCCTGCTGTCTCTGGTGGAGCAGCTGGTGGTTTCGAACTGCTGATCTTGCAGAGCACAGCCCAACACAACCACTACACCACCAACACTCCGTGGAAAAGCAAAGTGGTCTAGTGCTTCCAGCCTCTGTGTGTGTGTATACATAAATCATGAGGCTTGTTCACATGGCTCTCCTGTTAGCCATGGTAGCCAATTTTATTATTTTTCCTCTCAAAAATTTATTTTGCCAACAGTGTTTTCAACCCTGTGCCCACTAAGAGGCAGCCCCCCTGGTTGCCATCCAGTGGGCCCTCAGTCTCCCCTCCCTTCAGGCCTCCCTAACCTGTGTCAGACTGACCTTGCCCTTGGGCCCGCAGGTCACGGCCGTGGACTGGCACTTTGAGGAGGCGGTGGATGGGGAGTGCCCACCGCAGCGAAGCATCTTGGAGCAGCTGGCTGAGAACCACTTTGAGCTGGTGATAAACCTGTCGATGCGCGGGGCTGGAGGCCGGAGGCTCTCTTCCTTCGTCACCAAGGGCTACCGCACCCGGCGCCTGGCTGCAGACTTCTCTGTGCCCCTCATCATCGACATCAAATGCACGAAGCTGTTTGTGGAGGTAATGGAGCCGGGCAGTCTGAAGCAGCTGGGCCAAGAGCCAGACTGGCTTTGTGGGTGTAGGGAGCTAGGAATCCCTGTAACACCCAGGCTCCCCATCCCTCAACACGACTGGTTTCCACTTGCAGGCCCTCGGCCAGATTGGACCAGCCCCTCCTCTGAAGGTACACGTGGACTGCATGACCTCCCGGAAGCTTGTGCGACTGCCTGGTGAGTGTGCCAAATGGCGCCGTGCCGAGGCGGCTGTGGGGCCCCAGAGGTTCCCTGCGTGAATGCCCGTGGCTGAGGGACCCGGCTGCCGTTCACTTGGCATCAGTTGTTGCTAATCTGGTGTGCCCCTGGGCCCACATCCTCTCATCCTTCCCCGTCCCCTCAGGCCTGGTGGATGTCCACGTGCACCTTCGGGAGCCAGGGGGTACACACAAGGAGGACTTCGCCTCAGGCACCGCTGCTGCCCTGGCCGGGGGTGTCACCATGGTGTGTGCCATGCCCAACACCAGGCCCCCCATCACAGACGCTCCCGCGCTGGCCCTGGCCCAGAAGGTGAGCCGGGCGCTCCGATTTCCTGGCATCAGAGACCTTGCCATCTACCCTTGCCTCCCGGGCCGGTGGTGCAGGAGTGGGTGGGCCTCACCGCCTGCGTCCTCTCCAGCTGGCAGAAGCTGGTGCCCGCTGTGACTTCGCCCTATTCCTCGGGGCCTCGGCTGAGAACGCAGGGACCCTAGGCGCCGTGGCAGGCGCAGCTGCCGGGCTGAAGCTCTATCTCAATGAGACCTTCTCCGAGCTGCGGCTGGACAGTGTGGCCCAGTGGATGGAGGTGGGACAGGCGTGTGGTGGGGGGCCATGGGCTCTCCCAAGCGAAAGGCTGCCTGCGCCCTTACACATCTTTCTGCCCTAGCACTTCGAGACGTGGCCGCCCCACCTCCCCATTGTGGCCCACGCCGAGCGGCAGAGCGTGGCAGCCGTCCTCATGGTGGCGCAGCTGACCCAGCGCTCCGTGCACATCTGTCACGTGGCACGCAAGGAGGAGGTGAGGGTGCACCGGGGGAGGGGCGTGGGGTCAGGACCCACTGGTCTGCCAAGGGAGAAGGGAAGGATGGGCACTTTTGAGGTCTTCCCCCATCTCCCCAGATCCTGCTGATTAAAGCTGCAAAGGCCCGCGGGCTGCCAGTGACCTGTGAGGTGGCCCCTCACCACCTGTTCCTGAGCCGAGAGGACCTGGAGCGCCTGGGGCCCGGGAAGGGGGCAGTCCGGCCTGAGCTGGGCTCTCGTCAGGACCTGGAGGCCCTGTGGGAGAACATGGCCGTCATCGACTGCTTCGCCTCGGATCATGGTGAGATGGCCCAGGGGGTCGGGACCTCCATTACACCTAGGAAAGAATGGGCGGGGGGGTCAGGCAGCAGCAGGCTGTTTATTTTTTATGATAGTTGCACGGACATCTTACACAATCTGTCATATCCGTTCACATACAATTCTGTTGTTCCATCCCATCGAGGGGGCTAAACAGTCATCAGGGCTGTCAGCTCCCCGTTCACCCCCCACCCCCAGGCTCTCTATTTTGGGGGTGGTAGTCGTGTGAGGTTGGTGGAGGTGCAGTCTTGGGGCCGACTCCCCAGGGGTGGCAATCGACTCTTTGCTCGCAGCCCCTCATACCTTGGAGGAGAAGTGTGGGCCCAGCGCACCCCCTGGCTTCCCGGGCCTGGAAACCATGCTGCCCCTGCTGCTGACGGCGGTCAGCGAGGGCCGGCTCAGCCTGGATGACCTGCTGCAGCGGCTGCACCACAACCCCCGGCGCATCTTCCACCTGCCGCCGCAGGAAGACACCTACGTGGAGGTGCGGGGCTGGCCAGCCCAGGGTGGGCCGGGCTCTGGGCCTTGCGCCGCCTTTGCCTGCGGTCACAGTGATTCTCTGGGCAGGTGGATCTGGAGCACGAGTGGACAGTCCCCAGCCACATGCCCTTCTCCAAGGCCCGCTGGACACCCTTTGAAGGGCAGAAGGTGAAGGGCACCGTGCGCCGTGTGGTCCTGAGAGGGGAGGTCGCCTATATCGACGGGCAGGTATGCGTCACCTCCTGTGTGTGCCCTTTCCAAGGCATAAGCTATTCCCTGAAGGTTGGTTCCCATCTCCCCTCACTCCCTACCTGCATCTTCTGTCTGCAGGTTCTGGTGCCCCCCGGCTACGGGCAGGATGTCCGGAAATGGCCTCAGGGGGCTGTTCCCCAGCTGCCCCCCTCCACTCCTGTTGCCAGTGACATGACCACGGTATCCACATCAGTGGGTGGGAAGGTGCTGGGGAGGGCCCTAGGGGAAAGAAAAGACGTGACACTTAGAACTCATCCCCCTGCCAGGTGGAGCAGACAATCCACCCTGAGACCCATCAGGCGGCCTGATGGTGGTGGGGCATGCACTGGTGGAGGCCAGGTTGAGTAGGTCCAGGGGATGAGCAGTTTCCCTTTTCTTAGAAGACTGATCTAAGGTGGCCTTGGATCTGCTGATGCATCAGGACAGGGTAGAGTGCCCCTGTGGGTTGCTGAGACCCCAGAGAAAGACCCTAGTCTCTCCCCCATAGGGGCTGAACTTGCTGTTGCTGGCCCGACACCACGGCTGGTGCATGCGGCTGATGTGCTCAGCTCCCTGACCCTGCTCTGACACAGGCTTGCCGGGACTCGGGGCTGCCCCTTGGCAGCTGGTTTGTTTGAGCCCGCTGGTGTTTGAACCCAGGGTCCAATGTTGTCTCTGCAGACACCCGAACGGCCCCGCCGGGCCCTCCCCGGGCTCCCTGATGGCCGCCTCCACCTGCCACCCCGCATCCACCGGGCCTCTGACCCTGGTCTGCCAGGTAAGGGGCCAAGCCTGGAGATAAGTACAACGGGGGCACCCTGACTCAGTGGGCTCCTCGACCCTGCGGTTCAGCTCGGGCCTCAGTCGGCCCCTCGCTACTATGTATGTATTTCCTCGTATGACCCAGTTGCCCAGGCACTTGTCTGGGCCCCCCAGGCCCCTGCCCTTGACCAGTGTCCTGAGCCCCCACCTCTCCCTCCCTCCACCCCAGGCTTACCGCTGCCCCACCTTTGCTAAGTCAGTCACCCAGCATGCGGTAGGCCACCCACAGCTTCTCACAGCCCTCTCTTGTTGTGGGCAGCTGTATCTCTCCGCCTGGGAGCTGGGACCCCACGGGGCAGCAGAGCATGGGGTAAATCGGGCTTGTTGGTTGCTGTGAGCCTGGCTGCTGCCCTTGCCCAGGACCCCTGTGCCAACTGGGAGGCCCCAGGGAGGGGGGACACCACTGCTCCCACAGCACGCCCCGGAACCGCTCCTGCCCGCCCCTAACCTGCTATCACTCCCGTGGTGTGAGTTGGCTTAACACATACACAGTGGCCAAGGGGCTCGGGACAGTGGGGGCTCTTCCTCCAGCCAGGCTGCAGCCTAACTTCTGTCCATTGCCGGACAGCAGCTGAGGAACCCAAAGAGAAGCCTGCTCGGAAGGCCGTGGAAGCAGGTGAGAGAGGCTACGCTGTGCGGACACACACCTCGGGTACCTCTGCACTGGCTCTGGAAGGGGACCCTCTGACTGGCCTCTTTTGCCTACCCCCCACTACAGAGCTGATGGGAACCCCTGACGGCACCTGCTACCCCCCACCACCAATACCTAGACAGGCGTCACCCCAGAATCTCGGGCCCCCTGGCCTGCTGCACCCCCAGACTTCACCCCTGCTACACTCATTAGTGGGCCAACATATCCTGTCTGTCCAGCAATTCACCAAGGATCAGGTGCTGGGAGAAGCTGGGTGGGGCACTCAGCGCTGGGAGGATTTGGGCAGTTGGCACTAGTGAGGGTGTCTGGGCTGATGTGGGCTCTTGTGCACCCCCCTCCCCATCCCCCGGTAGATGTCTCACCTCTTCAACCTGGCGCACACGCTGCGGATGATGCTACAGAAGGAGCGGAGCCTCGACATCCTCAAGGTTCGGCTGGGCAGGTCACGGTCCCCCTTGGTCCCTCTCTGGAAGGGCCTGTTGCTCCCAGGTGGGGCCTGAGCAGCCACTGATGTCCTTAGGGCCGTGCCTATGTGTTGGCTGCCCTCTCCAGGGGAGCCTGCAGCTCAGGGCACCAATGGAGGGCGGGTCAAGGCTACAATGGGACGCTGGGGAGCCTTCTCAGCCCCCGCCATGCACAAGTTGGTGAGACCAGCGGGCCTGTGCCCACCCCACCCTGGCAAGCCCCTGCTCACGTGGCGCCCCTGCCCCTCCGCAGGGCAAGGTGATGGCCTCCATGTTCTACGAGGTGAGCACACGGACCAGCAGTTCCTTCTCTGCGGCCATGGCGAGGCTTGGGGGCGCCGTGCTCAGCTTCTCTGAGGCCACATCGTCTGTCCAGAAGGGCGAGTCCCTGGCTGATTCCGTCCAGACCATGAGCTGCTACGCTGACGTGGTCGTGCTCCGGCACCCGCAGCCCGGCGCCGTGGAGGTGAGGTCGCCTGCCGGGCCCTGGGGCAGACCCGTCTTCTGTGGCTGCAGGTCCCGGGATGGGCCCCAAAGAGGGGGGCTGGGGAGGGTTCACCTGCTGCTGCCGCCCTTCCCAGCTGGCGGCCAAGCACTGCCGGAGGCCGGTGATCAACGCTGGCGACGGGGTTGGAGAGCATCCCACCCAGGCCCTGCTGGACATCTTCACCATCCGAGAGGAGCTGGGGACTGTCAACGGCATGACGGTGAGGGCTGTTGGGGGAGGGCGGCTGCTGCCAGGGCTCAAGGAAGCTGCCTCCCACGCCCGCCGCCACGGCTGTGCAGTGGGTGGGTGGGGCCTCTCCTGAGCGAGCTTCTCTTTAGGTCACCATGGTGGGTGACCTGAAGCATGGGCGCACCGTGCACTCCCTGGCCTGCCTGCTCACCCAGTACCGGGTCAGCCTGCGCTATGTGGCGCCACCCAGTCTGCGCATGCCACCCAATGTGCGGGCCTTTGTGGCCTCCCGTGGCACCAAGCAGGTGAGACCCCCCACCCCCCAGCTCAGCCTGGGGAGCCAGCCCTGGCAGGGGCAAGGGTTGGATAGCCCGAGCCCGGCTGACCCCCCTGCCCCCCAGGAAGAATTTGAGAGCATCGAGGAGGCACTGCCCGACACGGATGTGCTCTACATGACTCGAATCCAGAGGGAGCGCTTTGGCTCGGCCCAGGAGTACGAAGCTGTGAGTGGCAGGGCCAGGGTGCAGGAAGCAGCCAGGCTAGAGCTACTGGGTGTCCAGACCCGGGACAGGGAGGCGGGTCAGCCCCTCGGTTGGGATCGCGGTGTGTGGGTTTTGAGGGCGCCATGGGGGGAAGCCAGGCTGGTGGCCTCTGTAGCTGCTGCTGCCCCCCCTCGGAGAGGGGTTTACGGCCTCCCTGTCCCTACAGTGCTTTGGCCAGTTCATCCTCACCCCCCACATCATGACCCGGGCTAAGGAGAAGATGGTGGTCATGCACCCCATGCCCCGTGTCAACGAGATCAGGTGACGAGGGGCCTGGCCTGGAGGGTGCGTCCGGGCTGGCTGCGCGGTTGGACGGGCCACATGTTAACCCTTCCCCTTCTCTCGCAGTGTGGAAGTGGACTCAGACCCCCGAGCAGCCTACTTCCGCCAGGCTGAGAACGGCATGTACATACGCATGGCCCTCTTAGCCACCGTGCTGGGCCGTTTCTAGGGCCCGCCTTCCTCCACCTCTGTTCCTCAGGCCCAGCTGCTGGGCAAGGAATCCTGGTGCCCCCCACGGGGGCAGCACAGTCGAGGCTCCGGTCAGCTCTGGACACACATGCAGACCCAGAGCAGGCTTGAGGTGCTGCACTGGATCTCGAGAGCTGGGGTCAGGCCTCAGTGGGGCCTGGGCCCGGTCTGCCCCGTCCCCCTGCTGCAGTCCCTTTTCTCCTGACCTAATAAACAGCCGAGCTGCCTCTAGTGCACACTTCTTCCTCAGGAGCACAGTCTTCTAGCACGAGTGGTAGTAACGTCTTTTACAGACCTTTCTGCTAGAGAGCGGAAACAGCTCCAGAGCACGAGCGGCCTCGCCGGGCAGGACTGAGCATCTTCTGGTCCTGGCTGTAGGGTTCTGGGCAGGGGCGTGTTTCTCTTGGTGCGCTGCCTGCAGTAGGAACAATGATAGCAGAGGTAGCCTGAGGCTCTGGCCAGTGGCCGGCACTTCTGACAAAGCAGCCGGGCCTCTTGCCGGCTGTGGGGTGGGCCCGGGCTAGTGGTTACAGGAGGCCGAGCAGCTGCTGGGGCCTGACTGGCGAGGGTCATTACCTTGTGGTTCCCCAGCTGCCATCATACTTGAGCCCCTCCTCCCCTCCCTGAGAGCCCTGGCCTCACAGTGAACTAGGGGCAGGGGCAAGTGCCATGCCAGCGGTGTGCGAGCTGGAGGCACTGGGGTACAGTAGTGCAAGGGGTGGGGGCCCCCAAGAATTTGTGGGAAAATGGAATTAAAGATATGTAACTTTTCCTCAAACTTCTTGAGAGGGTTTTTGTGGAAAGTTTGTTGGGAGCGCTTCCATCCCACGAACGTAATGGCATGGAAATCTCCACACGACCTCTCTGGCCACAGAGCAAGGCGCTCTGGGAGTGCAGTGAGTTCCAGGTGTCAGCAGTTGACACCCCCACCCCCACCCCCAGCTGCTCCACAGGAGTGATGAGCTGTCTGCCTGCAAAGACGGAAGCCCGGAGGGCCAGTTCCACTCCGTTCTCCAGGCTGTCCCTGAGTCAGTAGACTCGAGCAGGAAGTTTTGGATGCAGAGCACTAAGAAACAGGAAGGTGAACATGATTTCGGGAAAACCGAACTTCATGCAAACGGGGATAGAGTAAAAGGAACCCTGTTTCCTTGTTTCTTCAGTGTGAACAGGCTCTTTCTACTTTCGTCACTTCCTACCATTTTATAGATGAGAAACTGGCTGAGTTGCCTGGTGACTTGCCTAAATACATAGCTAGGCCTTGTATTAAAACAAAAAGGGAAAAGTCATCCTTAGTCTTAAGGGCATCCAAAGCTAATGGGAGTGGCCACTTGTACAAATCGACGCGGAAAACAAGTCTTCACGGTCCTGTGGAACCCACTTTGAGAAAGGAGACGGCACAGAAGCCAAGGGAGCCTTGCCTGGGAGCGCCAAGGTGGAGAGGCTAGAGGGCCTGCTCGAGGTTCAAGTTAGGCTTCCACGGAAGTAGTGACAGTCACAGGCTCTCAGGAGTGGGGCTAGGTGCACTGCGACGTACTGCACTGGGAGCTGGGACCTCCGTGGGCCTGGTCTTTCCAAGTGGAGATCCTGACAAGTTGACTCCCTCTCCAGGCTCCTGGAAGACTTGGTTGGAAGGTTCCAGACAGTATCGTCTAGAAACCTCTTTTCAGAACTTGAGCTTCCCTTTTGAAGCTATTACATTCTCAAGTACTGTTAAGTCCTGGAAATCTGTCGCACACACATTCCCACAGAACCCGCAGAGAGCCTTGCTCTCAAGTGCCAGCACCCGCCTTTGCAGCCCAATGCGCGCGCGCACACGTTCTACTCAGTCGTGAAGCAGTGGGAGGTGTTCCTGCACCGAGCCTTTGGCTTTTTCTAATCTCATAACACAGCTCTGAAGTTGAATAAACCTCTTTACAACCAGAAATTACATCTTAGTGCATTTGGGAATTAAGACAAAAGAAGCCAACAGCAAAATACAACCACCCTTAAAATGATACACCTGAGCCTGGCCGTAACCTTGTCGGTTGCGTTCCATTAGGGGAATCCCATCTGGTTTTCATTAAGGGTGGAAAAGTTTGTTTTACGTTCCCCCTCCTGAGATACTTAGGGAATTTGGATCTATTTCTTTTTAATTATATGACGAGCACTGTTATAAGAATTTGGCAAAGATTCCATTTTTTAACTTGAGCCTGCCGTAACCTTGTCGGTTGCGTTCCATTAGGGGAATCCCATCTGGTTTTCATTAAGGGTGGAAAAGTTTGTTTTACGTTCCCCCTCCTGAGATGCCTAGGGAATTTGGATCTATTTCTTTTTAATTATATGACGAGCACTGTTATAAGAATTTGGCAAAGATTCCATTTTTTAACTTTTGGATGAACCTTTTAAATCATCTCCAAACCTACCACCACCTAATATATTTGACGGGTGTCGCTGCAAGGTCGCTCCCCCCACAATTCACAGTCTGATAGTGAAAGTCCCTCTGACGTAGTCCTCGTTCCACTTTGCCACCAGCATCTTGTCCTTGCCTTCCGCCACTAACTGAGCTGCAATCACCAGGCGGTGCCCCTCAGGATTCTGAGTTGGAAAGGGTAGAGTTGGAAGTCCCAAGTGGAGAAAAATAGCCCTAGAATGCTGTACCATGCTTTCGCCAGATCCCACAGACAAGACCCTGGCTCTAAGGCCTGAGCACAGTCCTCCGAGGCTTAATGTCAAGAAGAGGGAGGTATTTGTAGTCAGATCTAGCAGATGGCCAAAGAGAGTGACGTCTGGGGCAAGGACGTGGGATTGACACCATCGTTTCTGGCCTGAGGCTCTGTGGTGGTCAAGTGGCCACCAGATGTCCTAGGGCTGGTGAAGGTCTGGGAGAGGGAAGGAACAAGAAGAGGCAGTTCGCAAAGAAGGGATCTAGAAATGGTGGGGAGAGCTGTGAAGTCTGCAGACGATTAAGCATTAGAAGCGGGACTCCAGAAGACGCCAGATATGGTAAATCTGTCATGGAGGCTGGGAAACAAATGTCCAGGAGCAGGAGTATGAAACAGGCAAGTCACCCAGCCTGGGGGACGTTGGGGGGCCATCAACTACCCCGAGTTCAACAGAAGCCCTGCACCAGCCATACTCAGTCGAGGCTGTGCTTGAATCCATAGCTACAGCCAATGTGTCAACCCATCCGACCCCTATTTTACCATACACGAGACGTCCTTCTCCGGGGCCCCTCATGATAACATATCCAAAGTAGGTGGAGGCAAAGCCTCACCATCTTCACTTCTAAGGAGCATTCTGGTTGTTAATTCTTTCAAGTTCTGACAGTTCATGGTATTCTTTAACCTTCATTGACAACACGCTCCGATTCTCTGACCTTTCCAGTTAGCGACCCAATATGTAGCCGCATTAACCCAGTTAGTCTTTGTAGTTTCACCTTGGATCTTGGATTAGATATGTATATGGACACCGATGAAACATACAACTTTCGGGGAGGAGACG